CTGAGTGTTTCCAAATAAGCAATTTGCATCTGTGAAGAATTTCTGTTAGGAGTTGGTTAGGGACCATCATTCGCATTGTCTTTTTGCTGATTACACTTCAACGGACGACGGAAGAGAAGTATCTGCAAATTTTAATTTGTTCACTATCGATAATATTACTTCTTCACCTGGATCTAACAACTCTGCAATTTTACTACGATGCAAGCACACGCAAACACAACACGTAAACAAGCTATGTGTCTTTGCAGCCAACTCGAAGAGTAGAAGTTTCAGCCTTGCAGCAAGAACTGAATGAAGAAACTCGGCTGGATCAACAGAAACCCCCCATCAACGATGTGCGCACAGCTATGCTAGGCCTTCGATTCTAAGCTGCATACCTCACCCAACCCAGATATCCTCTAAAAACTACAAGTTGTGAATATTAAACCTCATCTTGGTGCATCAGCTGTCAGCTTGCTAAAGTACACTAGCACGTAAATGCGCCACAGCGTATAAAACTCGGCAACGGAAAGTCAAAAATCAAAATCCTCCGTAATAGCTAGCCGTGAGAAGCGGTGGCACTCGGAAAGTGCCAACAACTACAACTTGCTGGCAAGTCTGTCGATGGCTCCCTCTTTCGAAGGTTGCTTATAAGAAAGCTGATGATGGGTTTGTTTTGCTAACATATGTCAGTACCAATTTACCACCGAAACAAACGAACGAATCGTTAAAAGAGTGATTGTACCACAGTTGAAGAGATAGTTCGGCCTACTGCATAATAATTGTACTGTTTCAGTAATGGACTGATAAAAGTTCATGTTGCGCTTACTTACGTGGGGCTCTGGACGATGGATCATGTAGTGCACCCATCCGACACTTTGTTGTACGCCCAAAGCGCGCCATTCGTCCTCGCTCATCAAACGATTGCGTGGCACAAGAGTGGCCATCCGTTTTGGTAAAATCACATGCCTAAATTACTGTAACAGTAGCAAAATTTCAAATATTTCTATTTCGACTAACGGAGAAATTTGGAAAAATTTTCCTGATCTAATCACCGTTCATTTGTCACAGGTGGAGATCCTATTTTAAGATGCTGCTTCCCTTTACATCCTGGAAGGCTGCAAGATTTAGTTTGTATCATTTATTCTACGTATAAAAGTAATCATTTTAAGGACTATCTGAGTGATCTGAGTGACTACTCCTCCTAATCATCCAAAGAATTATACGTAAATATACAAATGCATCAAGCAAGCACAATTGCACAAAGCAAGCACAGCAGCAAGCACACATGCTGTAGTATTTTGCATAGGAAGTGCTGAATATTAGTTGTCGGATATTCTTGGAGAACTAGCAAATATCAGTTTCATTTTTTCATTAAAAAAATCATAAGAAAGGAAAGTTTTCTTATGACTTTACCCAACTTTAACTTAATAGAGTAAGCGGAATAGCATGACCAAAAGACAGGTTAAAACATGCTTCTCCTTCAGACAAAGGCTAACTCATAAACTCGTTATGTTCACAATAATAACTCGCACTCATGCAAGTATTAAACATGAGTTATTCCGTTTCTGGATTACTGCCCTCCAGTTGCCTAATTCGTCCGAGTTCTTACATTTTTCATTTCCTCCCATTATGGCATGTATCGTAACAATCCACGAAAAATCGGTGAGAAGTGATAAACTGTTTAAATGCGTATGTGTGGTACCCACGGGGCTATAAGCGGGAACCAAGCATGCCTGGGGGTTGAATTTGAAATCTTTGAGTTCTATAAAGACGGGGGACATAGCCTCAAAATTTCAGCTTTCTAGCTTTTCTGGTTCCCGAGTTAGCGATTTTCCCGCTAAAAGTTTCACCCCCTCTTACGTGGGGCCCAGATTTGCGTGAGGATTGATACCGTGGTCCTGGAGTGGCACTTGGCCGGTGAATCCACCAGCAAAGTTTTGGCGCCGGAGCTTGCTTGAGTGCCGAGTATGTGTGTGGACAGACGCGCACACACATACACACACACCCGGGTCGTGACAATATGCATTTTGCAAAAAATATGTGCGTAAATGGATATAAGAAATCTAGCTGTTGCTTGGAACATAAGGGGTGGTAGTGCAATGGATAACACGTCATGCTCCGAAAGGTGCGGTGAAAATGAGTGGTTCGGTTCACTTCCGGTCCGTAGTTTATGCAAACAGGGAAATGTTTGCGAAAACATGAAGGAGATGAAAGTATGCTCACCTGTATTCGTAATTGTCATCCTCGTAGCGCGGTGAGTAGTAAAAATCAGCGGTCGACATTTAGTATAGCATATAAACTAAAATACATTAAAATTAAGAACAATAATTTGTCTGAAGGCTTGGCAGGAAGCGTACGTGGAATTGTGACGCCGACTCACCATCCTCCCTCCTCCCGTCCATCCTCTCCCCCTCTGCTCTATAATTGAGTGACAAGTAAACAACATGCAATAGTAATAAACAGCAGCGCTCACCAGACTAGCCGGTGCGATCATGCGTTTTGTGCAATTCAGCGCATCGAACGACTGCCTATTAATGATTTTCACTGTTTTGTACTTTAGTCTACGCAAAAATAGTTCAAACACTGGAAAACAGTTAAAAATTTCACGCACCAGCGCATGAAAGCT